TGCAGCACTGTTGACATTTTCAGGTCGTTGTTGTGGGTCCAGCTGCTGCAGCATTTGGTCAGGGTCACGTCAAAGATGATAGAGGGGAGAGCAGGAATGCAGGTCAGCCTCGGCTTTCAGGGCCGGCAAAGCAGCCTGTAATCAAGCAAAAAGAGAAAAAACAAAAAACAAAACAAAAACAAGACGAACAGGAAAATGATGTTGTGTTGGCTGTGTTATTAACGAGAGGGGAGAAACAACGGGACCAGGCCCTGTGTTAGCCTTCTCTCCCCTTTTTTTCTCTCTCTCTCTCTCTCTCTCTCTCTCTCTCCCCCCCCCCCCCTTTTTTTTTTTCTCATCCGATATAGTCAACTCATAGCCCATCAAGTTGACAGGACAACACTGGTAGATATTTAAATTCTTAAGATCATGTTTAAACTCACAAAAGAGAATTTTCCTTTCTTCAGTAACTCACTAGTGTTGTTCAATCAGCAGAAGACATCTCACAATTTGACTCTTAACCACTAAATTTATTGTCTCCACACTGGTTGGTCATACCAGTCTTTCTTTTCTTTCTTCTTTGAAGTTAAGTTATTGTCCTGCAACCCAGAGACTTTATTTGTTAGTAGTGGATAAACTTCACCATTTAACAACAGGTGTATTTTAAGTTTCCCTTCTGTAACTTTGCTGAGTGTAAGCTGCTCTTCATTGCGTGTGTGTGCATTTGTAGGCAGGTTAATTTTATGTGTGTTCAGTGGAGCTGCAGATCCAGCAAAGTCTCTCTCTGCCTTAGCTTTTTTTTTTTTTCAAACAAGGAGTTTCCTTAAAAGCTGCCTTTTCTCTCACATTTCTCTGCTTGTGTGTGTTTTTGTTTCACCGTTTATTGCAATGCTCCGGACGCCTTCCCAACCTCCACAAGTCCATTGGCCCCAAATTTCAACCCAATTTTATGTGTTACAGCTTCTCTTAATTTCTCCTCTTCCCTCCTCACTGCTGTCGGTTCCACAGCTGCTGATTCTTGCTGATTGTGGTTCCCATTACTATCATTTAGCTTCGGCCGCTGTGCTTGTGGTGGGCGGTTGGTCCAGGGCCGTAGCCACCTGTATTAACACACTAAGAGATCTATTTAACAATTACAGAAACATAAACAATGATTATGCTCATTTGAATATTGAAAATTTTGGGCATGTGGCATAAACTTTACACTGGCTGGTGTTAGTAAATTTGTAAAACACCATGCATGTTTCACATCAAAGATTATGTTAATGCACATTAAATGCTCTTGCTCTTAATCTCAGGCTCTCTTCCACACCTGTCTTCCTTCTCTCACCCCAACCGGTCGTGACAGATGGCCCCGCCCCTCCCTGAGCCTGTTTCTGCTGGAGGTTTCTTCCTGTTAAATGGCAGGTTTTTCCTCCCCACTGTCGCCAAAGTGCTTGCTCATAGGGGGTCATATGATTGTTGGGTTTTTTTCTGTATGTGTTATTGTAGGGGCTACCTTACAATATAAAGCGCCTCGAGGCGACTGTTGTTGTGATTTGGTGCTGTATAAATAAAATCTAATTGAACTGAATTTAATTGAATTGTGCTTATCATAGACCTGAAACAGTTTTTTTTTTTTTATGGACTGCTTATTATAGACAATGGACTGCTTATGGATTATGGATTATGGACTGCTTACTCTTCCTTAACTTTATAAATTATTAGATTTAAAAGAAAGGACATGTGAGACATTGTTTTCTTAATTCTTCATTCAATACAATAAATCATCTATAATTGCATTTTTTCATTGTATTTGCCATGTTGTATGCATATGGTAGGAGGAAGGAGCAGTGTCCACAATAAAAATCATAATAACTCACCTAATTTATTACTAATTTTCAAATAATTTGTTTTTGATATTTATCTCTGATGTCATATTCTGATTTACTGGCTTCTGATCTCATTCTATTAAAAAAAAAAGTCTGGATAAATCTCCTGTGATCTTTTATATGAAGTTTCTGTCAAATTGGACCAAATATGGGGTTTGACCGCTGGGCTTGATTCATGTGCTACACTGAACACGCCACAGGATGACAGCATAGTCCAAGAATCTAACCAGGAACATATTCTGTGGCAGAGTGTGAGCAATGGCGATTATATAAATGAAAATGATGCGTGCCAGTTCATGTAGAATATGAGATAATAATATGCTCTTTTCCCCTGTGAGATTTGAGTCACTATCAAGTCACTCACTGGATATATATGTATATATCTAATCTCCAATGTTGGTCAATAATGGTATGTCTAATATTAGTGAAGGTCTTACAGTTCACTTAGGGTCACATGGCTATCTCAGGTACCATGGGGCAGGGTAAACCCTGGATAGGTGTCTATCAAAGCCTTTCACTACTACCATGGAATCAATTAACCTAAAATTAAGGAACAGGTGTAGGCACAGGGAGAAGATGCAAAGTATTTTTAAAAACGTCCCACCCTGGATTTAAGACAGTACCTTCCTGCTGTGAGGCAACAGTGCTTACTACTGTATCAATGTAGCAACCCAGTTAAGAAAGCCAGCTAAAAAATTGCAGTAAGTGCACAGACCAGGAACAGAATGGGTTAAATGCTGTAGGTCTCCAGAAACGTCTGTGGCTATCATTTCTCACATCCTGAAGATCTGAATGTTACCAAATAATTTTAAGAAACATATTCCTCATAATTACAAGAAAGTGTGTCCAATTTTTAAAATAAAGGTTAATTGCTTCTTGAAAGCAAACATGATACTTTGAGTTTGTTCTTCATCAAAAAGAAACGAAGCTTTTCTTTAAAACAGTAATACGTTTAGCAGGTGATGCATTTTGTTTTTATTGGCTTTTTAAAGGTGAAGATATTAACCAATCAGATTACAAAACAAGCTCTTTCAGTAGTTTTTAAACACCTTTGAGGATCTTTTTAAAAAAAAATTGATAAGAATTGAAGGCACACACATGAATACACGTTTTAGGTCTTACTGGACCTAATTAAACATGGTGCACATTTGAACAAAATCTCATATGATAAACTCCTCCATTCCAAAAATAGTGGTCAGATTTGGCTTTAAAAGCCGGTCGAGCTGTGGTCCTGAAGCACCATGGAGGTGATCCAACACAGCACAGATCCTCAGAGGTGGCGCTCTGCCATTTCCAAAGAGACTCATCTCTTCCATCTCTTTTGCTTTGTGATGGTGATGCCAAGTTTTGGAGGGCTTGGCACCAAAATGCATCCTCCTCCTCCTGCTGGTGTGTGTGTGTGTGTGTCTGTGTCCAAGCTTTACCATCAAAACACACACATTCACTGTACAAACACAAATGGTTGGAGATTAACAGTGATGACAGACGAGTCACGGTTTGCAACATCGCTTCAGGCAAAGATCAGAGTAAGGAGGTCATCCATAATCCCAAACCCGAAACACAGCAGTCACAAGCCAAACAAAAGAGCAAACCAAAGTGTTCCAATGCATTTAAAAGCATGATATCTGCTGTTTGTATCTTATAGGTTGCTGCACATTTAAGTGAGAATTTGTTTTTGTTTGTTTTTTTTTAATTAAACGAAGGTCAGGCACTTGTGGTGGAAAACATCCTCCAATCTGTGTGAACCTGTAACATTAAACACTGTCTTTGTTTCTCTCTTTCTTTTTGCAGGATCCATCGAAGTGACTGGACAATACATCTGGTTTTGATAAGGTTCTAAAAGGATTTAATTGCAACCTCAGATAGCAACACATATTGCAGCCGGACTTGTATAACAAAAATTTAGACAAAATGCAAAAGCATTGTAAAAAAGGCAAGTACTGTACACCCCATCATTCTTTAGCAGGAATTAAGTAATAATGTCCTGAATGACTTTATCAGTCCCGCACATCCTTGTGGACACATTTTGGTCTATGATTCTTTACAGTGCTTTAATGTGTTGATGCTTACAAGCATTAATTTATGCACAACACTCTAAGGTTCTGATATAGAATTTCAATCAGTTTGAGGTCTGGACTTTAAGTGGGTCATTGCAACACCTTGATTCTTTTCTTTTTCAGTCATTCTGTTATAAATCTGTCAGTGTTTTTGGAGTCACTGTCCTCTTCCATGGCCTACTTTCAACTTAGTTTTGGCTAGCAGACATATTTGACTCTAGAATACTTTGGTATACAGAGGACTTCATGTAGCACTGCAAGGTGCACAGATCCTGTGGCAGCAAAACAAGCCCAAATCACCAGCCCTTCCTTCACCACTGCGCTTGTGACAGTTGGTGTGGGGTGTTTGTGTTGGTATGCTGTGTTTGGTGGCACTGCGCATTATGGCCAAACATCTCCAATTTGTTTCCAAAGGACAAAGTCTTGTCGTTTGTTCAGATTCAGCTTTGGAAACCTAAACTGTGTTGCTGCATTTTTATTTTTTTGAGAGGGAAGAGACTTTCTGATAGCAGCTCTTCCAAACAAGCCGTACTAGTTCAGCGTCCTTAACTGAGTTTGCTGAGATGTAGCTCTTGGGTTTCTCTGACCTCAACTCCTGACAAGAATGGCAACTATCTTGAAAGTTTTACACGTACAGTATGAATAATCTTTCTCACTGCAGAATGGTCGACTAAATTGTTTGAAAATGACCTTATACTGTAACCCTTCTCAGACTGATGGTTAGCAACAGTCGCTTCTCTAAGGTCACTGATGTCCATCTTCTGTGGCATTGTGTTAACACACAACTGAATCCTCCCGACCAGCAAACTGTCAAAGCTTTGGCTTTTATAGAGGTGCTCACAATTAGCAGCAAATACTTACCCTGTTAGCTTCTATGGAAGCACGCTCCTGTATTCTTGGGTTAATTTCTGTTAAATAAAAGATGACACTCTGTAATATGTTTGTGTTGTTCAGACCTGTTAAGTTTCTTTCAGCTGTGGAATGGTGAGATTTCTTTACCTGTAAAGAATGACTCTTATCTAGAAAAAAAAAAAAAAAGCATGTGTAGTATACACACGGGGCAGTGTAAAAGTCATAAAACACAACAGACGCAGCAAGTTCTCAAGCTGTTTTATTCCTTTTAGTCTTTAGACAGCAGCCCACTCTCAAATATGTTTTTAAAGGAACTTAAGCAACAAACGTATAATTTTCCCAAAGCAGTTGCAAATTATAAGAGCTGATTAAACAAACTACTACAGTGAAAAAGCACTCCACACACTAACAATTCTTAATGCTGTGCAGGATTTCACTGCTCTCTGACAAGATTTCATTTTAAACACCACCTTTTCAGGATGCATGAAATTACTCAGCATTTCATCATCGATTATGTGTCGCAGAACTTTTTTGGACTACACCTTTTTCAAAAGATTTTTTCAAAAGACTGTGAAGAGTCTTTACTGGCTTTCAAAGTTTATGTTGTGTCAGAGGGTGACATCTGGCAGGTACTGATCCTTAAAAAAAAATCATCAGATAAATGTGGACTATAATCCGATGTAAAAAAAAAAAAAAGTCCATAAAATATGTCAAATGGTAGGAATTTAATCATCTGAAACACAAAACTTTTTGCATTAGTGAATATTCTCTTTCAAATCGATCCATTGTGGCATCCTTGCAGACAGATCAGAGATATTTCTCGCTGTTTTTGGCTGTCTAGGCCTTCGTCTTGATTCCCATCGGACACGCGACACCTGTGCCTCCCAGTCCACAGTATCCATCGGGGTTTTTGCTCAGGTACTGTTGATGGTAGTCCTCAGCATAGTAGAACTGCTTGGCCTCAGCAATTTCTGTGGTGATGGAACCGTGACCTGCCTGTGTTAGTACCTAAAAGACAGAGGGGGAAAAAGAAAAGAAAAAAATCACAAATTACTGGACAGGTCATTATGAAATGAAAAACATGAATATATGAGCAGTCCAAGGCTAATCCACATCCTGCCCAAACTGATGGATCCAAATCAGTTTGTGATCGTTTCTTGAAAACAGCAAAGTGATCTCTGCCGGTTTTCTTTCTTTCTTTTTTTTTAAAAAATTATCTTAAGTTAATCCGTATTTTTGATGATATGACAATAAATGTAGTATTTAGCCACAGTTGTGTAAAATCTTTCGAAAAATGGCTGGATTCAGATCTAGCCTGACCCCAAAATTAAACACTGCTAAGTTGAGGCAATCTCAGACTCCCACGGTCATATTAAATCTTTAACTTTTAGCATGATTCTGCTAAACAGACAAAACGGAACCACTTGTACAACTGAGTGGTTTCCAAATCTTCCACCTTGAGGCAGCTTTTATCTGACCCAAACACTTACTTTAATTCATTACTTTTTGGTTAATTTATTTTAAATAGTATATCTATAAATCATGTTCTTACTGACACTCCTTCAAACAGACTGGGGATGTTAACTCGGCCTTCAAACTTGGTGCACCCTTTGTTGGGTGGCGTTAAACGACACTAACGTGATACTAGGGGAGCTAAAGAGGAACTTAGAAACCAAAAGTCCTTTCTGAAAGAAACTTTGCCTTCTTCAAAAGAGCAGTGAAGACAAACAACAGGCAGAGAGACGAGTTGACGGAGAACATCCTGCAAAGGAAAAAAAAAGTTTGTAATGCTCAAGAGTGCCCTTATCTGACCATGCAAACAAAAAAGCATATCTTTCTAGCTGCTCAAGAGATTATTTTCTGCAGATATGAAAACTTGTGTACTCAGAGACTTTGGTTTGCCCTTTTGTGTGACATGGAAACAAAAAGGTTGAAATTCACTGAAATAATCTCATATTAGCAGTGCAAATCATATACAGTACATTACCCCAGAGACACAATTCAGTTCAGCAAAAACAGATATGGTGACAATCACACACTGACTCTAATAAATTCGACTGGATTTATAAAATAAGTTAGAGTCATCAGGTTCCTCAAACTCAGGAGGGATAGATGCTGAGACTGAGTTTCCCACCATTCATCAATAAAAATATTCTTGTTAGTCTGCACCGAACCAATTTAACTGCAAGAATGATTTGATTTTGAGCAGAACTCATCTTATCAAGGTTGTTTTCTGCAGGTACTTATTAGCATCTTGTCTCTCTCGAATGTGTTTATTCAGCTCCAGGTGGGGCGGTACCTACAAAACAGACAATGCGCTCACACGCATTCAGTGTGTAATCATTTGGTGATGACACCCTCTCCTCCTTGTGATAAAAATTACTCAACCAGATGGCGTGTGGGTTAAATAAAAGACAGAGAAACGGTAGGCATGAAGACGATGAAACTTTTGCTTCTGATGGAGGGATGTGTGTGTGTTTTTAGCATGTGCACAGACATCATGAGGCTTTTTATTGGATCGCACCCTACGGTAGATGTTGGGAGACATAAATTTGGCAGAACATTTACAGGTTTAGCCTTTTATCTGCAGAGCTGCTGTTATTCTTCCTGACATGAAAGCTGCTAAAAGGAATACAAACCCAGAGCCCCTGTAGCCACTGCACTAGGTTTATGCTAATTAACCTAAATAATCATAAAACAGAGCAATTTTTCATGGTTCAACTCGGGATCTTCACGAAGGCTGGATTTGGTTTATTTATGTCAAACTCCCTCCATGTTTATTTGGTTAAAATTTTATTTGAAAGCCACACAATGAGGTTAATTATTTAGGCACTCAGTGCTTCAGAACATTCTGAGCAGCTACTCCAATGGAAACATACTATAATCCACAGTTTGATTATATGCTCCATATCCTGTGATTTTATGGCTTATGTGGCTTTTTCTACTTGATAATGTTATAAACACAGTGAAATAAAAACACAAATCTTTTAAAAAATCTGTATTTTCTGACATTCGTAATTAATGATATTCAATGAAAAAATGCGACAGTAAAATGTTTTACTCTTGATAGTTTTATTGCTAATATAACATCTAGTCCTTTTACTGAATATTATATTTCTTATTTAATTACCATGAGCTTCACAGACATATTGATACTTATTGGAAAATAAAGCACTTTGATTCAACATCATGTAACTACACGCTTCATCAGTGTTTAGCTTGGCGATTGCATCCATCGTCCTTCCCTGCTTATATTCCCCCATGCAGTGTTTTTGTCATTAGCCAAAGACCCAAAGGCCTCAAATAGGTGACCTGGACCTGAAGCACAGCAGGGTCCTTCTGCTCTGGTCTGAATGCAGTTTCATTGATACTGGGCCTTGACAAGCAACAGCCAGAGTGTAATGGTACAAGATTGGTTTAAATGATTGGGTTACAGTTCCTGAAAGCCATCAATTTATTCTGATTCAGGTTAGTTTGGGCCTTTAAAACCAGGAATTAGAAAAAAAAACTCATCCCAAAGAAATTCCCAGTGACATTTGTGTTTGATAAATTGAAGTCTAGCCTCTAACATTTTGTCATGCGTCTCTTTTTATGTGCTTAGATGAGGAGGGTAGGTTTTCATTAGCCTTGACCCTTTACTGCCAAGTGTATTACATTTGCATACATTTTTAACCTCTTAGCTGTAAAAGGCTGGTGGGGTATTGTTGTCACCCGGCTGGTGGGTGGGCAGGAAGTGTGGACACCCAAATTTGTGAATGCAATAACTCAAGAATGAGGTGAAGGGATGTCACCTGGAATTTTCAAATTCATGTGTCCATCTAGTAGGTTGCTGACGGGTAGCCCTCAGGAATTTATACTGTTAGTACCATACAAACAAGCAATACTGCAGATAGTAATTAATGGCTATCTCCAAGGCCGTCTTACAGGGTTCTTCGGGATGATTTCCAAAGCAGCTGCCAGTTTTATATCACTTGGTAGGAGTCATGTTCCATGTTTTTGAATATGGTTCAGTAAAAAGGTTGTCCATCAACTTGATTTTCATTTTCGGGAAGAAAAAGCAAAACAGGGATAAACTGGCACTCGTGTAGCTCTTTTCTAGGCCACATCAACAGCGAGTTTAGAATCCCAATATACCCAACAAGCATGTCTTTGGGAGGAATCACCACACAGGCACAGGCAGAGCATGCAAATTCCACACTGAACTTTCCAAATAAGGGTTTAAACTCGGAATCTTCTTGCTGGAAGGCAACAGTACTACTCAGTAACCCACCATCACACCCAAATGAAAACCAGGTCCAGGTGGTAAGCAGACATTGTGTTGGTATAGCAAAACAAAAGCGTCTACTATTTAATGTACTACGTGGCAGTATATGTGCATTAAAATACTTCTCCTTTCAAGTTTCTCCCTGCAGGATGCATTCACGGTGCATTCAATTCCATGAATGCTGGAAAAACCAGCATGCTCACAGACTCTACAGCTTGAGATCTCTCATCACGACCACATGACCTTCAGGTTTGTTTGTGCAAGCGGTCAGAAAGGGATTGGCTTAAAAATAGCAGCTGCAAAGGCATCTGCCTGGACACAAGATTACTTTGAATGTGAAATCAGCCAAATTCAAATCAGGTAAGGTTTATGATTTTATGGACATAGTGTCATGACTTTTTTTTTTTTATCACATCTCTTATATGAGAGAAAATAAAGAAAAACACAATAGTTCATTTAATAGGTCCTTAAGGACTATTCTTTCTAGCAGCTTCTGTTTGAATGGATTTATTGGTGCGCTGACATCTACCAGTCGATTACTTTGATGATATGGCAAATAGGTATAATGTGAAGCCCCTGTTTGGACTGCACTTCCAGTTTGAACACAAAGAACTCTTTGGGGAAATACTAAAAAGTTCTCACTTTATTTTTAGTACAAAAACAATCAAACTAAAGCTGCAATTTCACACATTGGTGCCTCTAATACTTAGTGAGAGGTAATTGTTTGCAAACCATTTTAACTTCATTGACGTCAGCACTCGGCAGTTGTTGAAGAAAATGTCAGCAAACATACCCAGAGGGTTTAAGCAGCTTTTATAGCAAAAAACAAAAAAACAAAACAAAAACAAAGACACAAAAGATGTGACGCCGGCAAGTTCTGCTCTTAATGCAGTTTGCTCACTGCTGTTTGACTCATTGCTTCCTGTGAAGATTCCCCACCATGACTGCACTGACACCACAATTTAATTTGAGTAAGAAGGGTGGAGGTATAGCACAGCAGCAGTTAGTCAGAACGGGATTCTCTTTTCTGCTGCAGCCATTCGTGATTCAGGCTGGTGAGCTGGATTCACAAGTACAGTAGGCAGGTTTATTTTTAGAAGCTTGTAATTATCTTTTGAGTGTTTATAGTTATGTCATATCAAACATAACATAAGATATATAGGGGTGGGATTCACCACACGATATCGACAGATTGTCTCTGACTGTTTGCTGTCTGATGCTCTCCAGTTTATTTTCTTGCTGTGACTTTCTTCTTTTCTACAGCAAGCTAGTTCAGTTTTCTTCACATTACTGTCACTCATGTGATAAGAGTCACCACAAGGAGTCATGACACAGTCGCTCTGGTCAGTTAAACTGGTGAGATACAAACTAAAAATATCAGTATTTGCTGTCAGTGAAACCAGAGTTTTATGGATAGATTCTACATCAGTATATGCCCCAAAATACGCTTTCATTGACTCCTTTGAAAATCATTTATTTCCCAAGTAATTTGTGACAAAATAACTAGCTGCCTCTCTATCCTATCATTCATACGAACTCAAACTCCACCATCTTGAACTGCAATAAGCACTGGTAGTCCTTGTTCTGCCCTGCATGAACCAGATCTCCACCTGCTCCCGGTTCTTCCAGTTTGGAGCAGACCTCTAAAGCAGAACAAGGACTACCATTGCCAGATGAAGTCCCAGATGGTGGAGTTGGAGTACATCTGACTGCAGGACGAGAACCTCTCTGGGAGAGCAGCTGA